CATTTTAATAATTTTATGTCCGGTATTAAAAAAGTTTTTTGAATTAATTAATTGAGTGAGTCATACTAAGAATTATAAATTTGTCAATTATCAGTATCAGGTAATGATGCGTCGAGTTATTGGAATGACAATAAAAAATATCATCACTAAGGATAATATAATTATGAACTACACTGATAATGTAAGTAGCTATGCATATATTACGTTAAAATAGAACATCAAAATTAAATGTCAATTTTAACTTATATTTCGTTAATGGACTTATATTTCGTTAATGGACTGGTTAGAGCGGACTTGTTTTGTATGAGTGCAGAGGATGGGAATCATTTTAACTGATAAGACTTACTGTTGCTTTCCATGATTTTATGCAGTTGGCGAAGATTATATATGATAATTTGTAAATTATAAATTAAGTATTGACAATGATATGTATAATGACAACGAGAATGATATCGATCTATGCTTATTCAAAATTATTGTAAAAAAAAAAAAAAAAATTTTGTAACAAATCTATGTAATACCATTGAAAATGGTCTGATGATAGACTGAAACGTTTGGTTCTATATATTATAATAAATTTCGATCAATTTATGATCTTGCACTAAACTTAACTTGTGTACGTGGAAGAAGCCGTTAATTATTATATTTTTGTATTGATCCACGGTTAATTAGTAATTTGTTTTTTTGATAAATTTAATAACTTAGAAGATATTAAAAAAATCGATGATTTTTTTCATTTTATAATAAAGTTCGGAGGCCCGGCGGCACGTTTTCCTCCTTATCCGATTGGGATGAAATTTTACACAGATTTTTTTTCTTAAATTGGAATCGTTTTGAGGGTTGCCGCAAAAAATATTCGAAAGTCGAAAATAAGAGCCACCCTATTATATATATTATATATATTATATACATTATATATGGAATATATTGTATTTTTTTGTATGTGGCATATTACCCATTTTTCAGCACATTCGTGTTTCTTTATTTTTAATAACAAAAAATGAATAGTTTCGATTTAAATTATACACAAATAATAGATAAACGATGGAAGAAAAAGATCAGTATGTAAAATTATTTTAAATTGAATAAATAATTACTCAAAAATCTAATTTCGCTTAAGTGTGGCGTATTCCCTCAACTTACCCTAAATCTCGTTCGCTAAAAATGCCATATATCCCAAACAGGTGGAATATATGGAAGACAACAAACTAAACAAAGAATACGAAAACGAAACACTTGTATTTTGCTACACAACATGCTTTACTATTCCACTACACGTATGTATCACGAAATAATCACTACTAGAGTAACTCCGGCAAATACGCCGCGCTAGGATTTACGCCGCAGAAGTCGGAAAAAAGATAGAAGGAATGGGGGTAATTTTCCCGCAACTACTCTGTTATATGCCTTTATGTTACGATTTCAGTTTCTTACTCTTAACCCTTACCGTACAAGATACAATTTGGTGTCTCATCCATACAAACGTGGGTTACTAGATCCGTTCGTTTTTTTTATTCAGAATAATTAAAAAAATCTCTAAAAATTCACCAACATGCTTTCAATTTTCTAGAATAAGTATTGGAACTTCATTTTAGAAAATAATAAAATGTAGTGTAATTTATAAAATTTATAATTACCCAAAGACTCAAAGAAACTTGCACGAACAAGAATCGGTCACTAGTGACCCATACTTGTAGGGTAAGGGTTAATATTAATGAAATTATTGTGAGTTGAATTGATTTGTCACTGTAAAATGATTACTATAAGACGTGCAAAAGACTTAGCGCTTATTTCGTGATACATGAGTGTAGAGGAATAGTAAAGCATGTTGTATAACAAAATACAAATATTTTGCTCTTGTATTCTTAGTTGTCTTGTATATCCCACCTGTTTAGGATATACGGCATTTTTAGCGGGCGGAATTTATGCCCAAAGCATACAAAGTGCGCAGATTGAATTCAGTGCACTAAATGCAATAAACGCATTACATGAAATATGTATTTCATGTCATAACACTTGTAATACTAGTAGGATAATAATAGTGGGAAGATGGTAATTATTATTTATTGCTTCATATACATATTTATCATTCTTATTATTTAATAAAACATGTAAACATATTTTATAAGTTATTTTGTCATTTTACGTCTTATTTATATGCATTATTTGTAAATTTTTCATGAACTGTACATATTCTCCCTCCCCTTCCCTTATGAGTAGCCATATATCCCCTATAGGATATACCGCAAAAATGCAAGGGTTTAAAAAAGTTCATTTTTTAATATGAGATATAAATATTTCGGATTTCTAAGATTTTTTTCATAATAGTAGACAGTACAAAGTTTTTACTGATATAGTTCGTTTACTTTAAACATAGTAAATAATACTTAATAAATTAAATTTTTGATAAGTGTGACATATATACCGAAGAGAGTTACACTATATATACTTCATTAATAAAAATATAGCGATTCTTTAAGTTTGTCTAAAAACTTGATATGGAACAAGCGAAATCTTGATACATGACGTTAAATTTTATTTGGGGGTAATAAGAATTCGCAAGTATTGTTATCTCACATAATAGATATGTCCAAAATACGTCATAGGGCAGTGGTCGCAAGGATTTGCACATTTCGGGCCGATTCCGGCGAGCGATCCCAACCACCGCATGGCCGAGCCGCCGGGCGGTCACGTGACGGTCTGACTCAGGGGCGCTCCTAAAAAATTTTCTATTGTAAATTTATTCATTGTTCCTTAATGAAATACTTATATCTTAAATAGTTTCTAATACGTAGTTTTCTAATACATTACAATGTAATGTATTAGAAAACTACGAACAATGAATAAATTTACAATAGAAAATTTTATGTTAATCGATTATTTAATATAAATATAAATTATTTAATATAATATAAATTATTAAATAAATAATATAATTATATAAATAATTAAATAAATAATCTAATTATATAAATTATTTAATAAAAAACATTTCAATAATAATTTGGCGGAAGGCGCGCTCTCAGTATATTTCTGGTATAGGAGCGTCCCTGAGTCAGAGCGTCACGTGACCGCCTGGCGGTTCGGCTGTGCAGTGGTGGGGGTCGCGCGCCGGAATCGGCCCGAAATGTGCAAATCCTTGCATACCATTGCCATAGGGTAATGAAATCCTAAAGATATATTTGGGATATGTGATATCTTTAGGACATTCCTGTGGTGTATTTCGGATATTTCTGCTGTATGGGACACGATAATATTCCAGACCTTTATTATACACACGATGAGACGTTTGTGTCTCGGGTTAATTTTTTTTATTACTTTTACTGTTGACAAGTAAACCGAAATTATTAAGTGATTCTACATATACTTTAACCAAAGTATTTATAAAGTAGTATATTAAAAAAAAATGGAAAAGAAGAGAGACTGCTAAATGTTTCTATTATAGTATAATTTAGCTAAATTTTTCTAATATTTTAAAGAAATAAAATGTGTAAGACATGAATAATCCAATCGTGTATCAAGGACTAATTTAATGATTTCTCGAAATATTTGTTCATTGGCATGAGGCAAACTTGAGTGAAAATTGTTCATCATTTAAAATCCATATATGTGACAAATTTGAGAACTTGAAACCCCGCGGATTTCCCGAGTAATAGAGCTCGGTCTCTTATCCGTTCGGGCATATTAAAAGCAATTTTGACGAACAATCCCGTGTAGAAAATTGTTAGGGCTTACAAAAGGGCCTTATAAGTATACCCTAAAATTTATCGGGGCCTATTAGGGCAGATTATTTGGGTCCTACATGGCATGTAACAAATTGTTTACCAGGCCCCTATAAGGAAAAATTATCGAGGCCCTATAAGGAAAAATTATCAGGGCCCTATAAGGAAAAACTATCAGGGCTCTATAAGGAAAAGCTATCAGGGCCGTGTAAAGAAAATTTATCAGGACCCTGTAAGGAGAAATTATTAGGGCCTTATGAGGAAATATTACGGGAATTAATTTTATGTTAATTTGAAACGGTCACCCATCCGAATGCGAACCACCATTCGCGTTGCTTGACCTCTGTAATCGTACGGAAACTGTTACTTCGATGATCCACGAATGTTAATGAACGTATAGTTGTGATATATCTGTCAATATAATCCTGATAGAAATTTGTGCAATTTAACTGAACATCCAGTCAGTATTTTGTTGTACGTGCCCATACGCATTTTTAGTGAAACACTCTTTAGAAAAAAATTTGGTTTTTCTCTTTTAGAGAATTTTTTTCTATCTCTTACAGTTCCGACGATATTTGCTTCGAAACAGAAAAATTAATTTTTTTCGAAGAAGTGTTTTATCCTTTAAAAGTGCGTATAGGCACATATAAAAAAATATGTGTCGCTTATTTTTGTCTGGAGAATAACATATTAATATGGCATCCCTAATAAATCCTTTCCAGGCACCTATAAGTTAGCTTTAATAAATAAATATTTATAAAGTTGATACGTCCTTATCAAATCCCGATAAGGACCTCATCAAGGAAGCCTTTTACTTATGGCATGTCTAATAAATCCTTTCCAGGCCCCTATAAGTTAACCCTAATAAGTAAGTATTTATAAAATTAATACATCCCTATCAAATCCCGATAAGGGCCTCATTAGATATAAATAAGGAAGCCTTACTTATGGCATCCCTAATAAATCCTTTCCAGGCCCTTGTAAGTTAGCCCTAATAAATAAGTATTTATAAAATTAATATATCCCTATCAAATCTCGATAAGGGCCTCATCAGGTATAAATAAGGAAACCTTACTTATGGCATCTCTAATAAATCCTTTCTAGGTCCTTATAAGTTGGCCCTAATAAATAAGTATTTATAAAATTAATACATCCCTATCAAATCCCGATAAGGGCCTCAAAGATATAAATAAGGAAGCCTTGCTTATGGCATTCCTACCAAATCCCGATAAGGGCCTCATTAGAAATATGTTACATAGTGAAATTCCTAACAAATTTCTACACTGGATAGTTGTTCGAACCGTTACCTCCTAAGCATGTCGCGCTGCAGGGGGTATAGCCAGTTTCCTTCCATGAGTACGTAGTTTGCACATCGCTACCCGGGGCGACCTTGATGCTGCTGTCGTATCCGCTTCCGCCGGAACTACCGGACGATGATCTACTGTACGAATCCGTTAGGCTCGACTCGGCGTATCCGCTATCGCCAACTGTGTCGATCCTGTAGGACAAGCTGTTCTCCAGCAAACCACATGGCTCCATTGTACACTTCTCCGTTTCAACGGGCTTCGGGCCGGAACATTGACTGTCCGGTAGTTTAGCGATGGTTTGGCTGAACTCAAGGAATATCTTGCAGCGCACCTCTCTGTGCCTGACGCCCTCGCCGCAGGTGACACTACAGGGGGACCATTCCTCGGCGATGAATCTGAGGACCCAAGTCCCACAATTGATACATTCCCGAATTCGTGTAGGTATAACTTATAAGATAATACGATAAGCGAACGTGAGCTCAACTGGAAACTATGGCAACTAAAATCTTGGATCGCGAAAAGATAAAAAATGCGTTGGACGCCTAAGATTTAATCATTTATTTTCAGTATGAGCACTTAAGAGAAATTTAAAGCATATAAATTATTCTTTATAAATATACGACTAAAACACTTTAATTTCTTTCTATTAAAACGAAGTATCTCCAATCTGTAAACGTTAAATTGTGATTTAAATTTAACGTAAATTTTATAAAATCGCAAATGCACATTTGCATGTATAATAATGATATTTATCAATAATTAAAATTGTTTTTTTATTAAATACAAAAATTTATGACATTGCTGGTACTAATAAATATGTATATATATTTTATTATCAGATTTAATATGTATATTCATATACTAAAAATAGTGAAATAATTATGATATTAACCATAATTATCACAGATAACAATTAGATTAAATAGAATACTTAGATATACATACGTTTATATTTTTTACATATTTTTAAATATGATAATAATGTTTATTTTAATATCATGTAGGTGAATATGTATATTAAAATTTAATTAATGAACATTCCGTTATTATATTCAACGTTTCTATTTATTTGAAAAATATTTTCCGTTAAAATAGATTGGCGTTTGTTATTTTTGTGCATAATATGCATTTATTATTTATTTGTACTATAAATTATTATAAGTCAAAATTTATAATAATTTAAAATGAATTTCACACTATAAAGCGAAATATATATAAAAATTCTTTAAAATATAAAATGAACTTTCAATACAGCTAAATATAATTATTAATTTTGTTTATAATTTATGATAAAAACAGAAGAGAGAGAAAATGATAAATTAAACTTTTTAGATTTATATTTAATAAAAGACAATAACAAAATATTTTTTAATTTTTTTTGCAAGAACACATTTTCAGGAAGATATTTAAATTATAATTTACAACCTCCGCTATCACACAAAAGAGGAATTATCATTGACGTGATTGATAAAATAATTAAACTAGCTGGATGGTGCAACTGGTTGCGTTTTCTCAAAGAAATGAAGATTGACTACCTATCATGAAAATATTGCGGATATTAAAAATAAGGAAAATCACGCAAGTACCGTAGCTTGATTTCATACATCTCAACACTTACGTTTTCATATGGAATTATCTGTACGTATTGAGGAAGGCTAAAAAGTTAGCCGAAACATGTATACTACAAATCCATAATTAAATTAGGATACATACAATTCAATAATATTGAAATTGATTGCGCATGTATTACAGCGCTAATTCCCTATTTGCCGAATTTATTATAATTTTTATATATCAGGGAATTTAGACTATTATTCGAATAAATATAATGTTCTCGTTAATTTTTAGATCATGTTATATGTATAACGTCTAAAGGATGACTAGAAGTTTATTAGTAGACGTTTACGATGTCTCATATTTAAATATATGTCAAATTATTAATTAATCATACATCTATTTTTTTTGCTTGATTATTAGACATTATTTATAGGATTTTTGTATTGCTGTACAAACATTGAAGCGTTATTATACTTATTGTTTATTGTAGAATTAAATATAGGAATTATAATATAGCAGATTAGAGAAAACAAAAATAAAAATATCTACAATTTTAACTTAGACGCAAATAATTAATAATTATTTACATTATAGTGCAATCAAATACATATTGGAAAATGTAAGAATGTACAAAGTTTTAGAACTAAAAAACTCTAGGATCTGCTATGTTCCTCATAGTATAAGCGAAATAATCTTAGACGAATTAATATACAAATATTACGGCAACGAAAAACGAATGTAATCGGTAATAAAGAACAAATGTATAGATAACAAAACTAAACATTGGTATCAATAGATAAGGGTAAGACATTAGATTAGTATTAGAATTTTATCACTGAAAATGATGAATTTACCGGAGTAAAGGTCGAAACGTTTGAATATATAATTGTAATCTATTAGCATTAGATAATATGTTATAATTTTATTTTTAAAATAAAAGTTATGACTATCAAGACTGACTATAATGCGGAGTTTTTTTTACAATATCCGTTTTAAGTTCCTCTCACATATTCGTTTTTTGTTAACATCGCATTACTAATTTAGGCCCTACAAAAATAAACGCAACATTTTCATGAACTTTGTAGAGGCGATACGTATAAAATGTGCAATTTTTAATTGCTTATATCTCAGTATTGAAATGGTCAATCTCATTATAATTGCACAAGTGTGTCAACGTCGTCTAGTACAATATATAATTTCAAATTCAAGTCATTCTGAATACTTTCAATTCGCGAGTGTACTACCTTAAGATCCCACAACCGTCTACGACTCCTGTTATAGACTCCCTGCATAAGCGAAACTTTTGTTCTTATTTATCCTCGTATAAAATAAATCTGTGACAGATAAAATCGTTACGATAACGGAAGAGTAGAATGACGTGTTATAGACGTTAGGAGTACGAGGAAATTATCAGATAGTTATACAGAGAGAGAAAGTTATAAACGCTAGATGAAGGGAATCTAGATTTAACATCTTATGGAATTTTCTACGGTGGTAATGGTTGTTCTAAAGTCGCTGCCATTGTTCTCGAATTACGATCGATGTTACATATCCCGCGAGGATTGTAGCGAAACGGAAAGTTTATACGAGCTGAGAACTTGATGAATTAATCGTTTGGTGGTCGCCTCGCGGACTACCTAAATTGGATTTTAAATTAGATTAAACAAGATATATATTTGTTTCTTTGCATTTTCCTTTACAAATTACATTATAAAATAAAATAAAAATACATATATTACCCATCTGTATATATCAAGATGAGAAATTCTTAGGAACGTTCAATTATATTACTGTAAATAAAAAATTATCTTATATCAATATATAAAAGTATTTATATTTTATCTTTTTCAAATATAAATACTTACATATATCAATATATGTGTGTGAGGACTTATATTGGAAAGTAGAAACAGAAGAGCTGTTAGATCTATAATATTATTGTCACTCTAATTTAATTATAATTACTATCCCATTTAAAAAAAATTTTTTTATTTTTGTATATTATCTCTTATTGAGATCTTATTTAACCCTCGGACAGCGGACGTCGTGATACTCGCATGCATGCGGTAGACGCAGGGTTAAAAGTAACTCAAGAATGAAATTGTTTTAAAATGTTCGAAAAGCAGTTTTTTATTATAACATGTAGTAAATTATTTCAAATATGTGGGAGAAGAAATAAAAACACATATTTATCATAGAAATAAATATCTATTTATTCATTTTCAAAGCTGAAAAAAGTAAACAACTCTAACTCGTGGGTCTGGCGAGACCTTGCGTCCGCGCGCCGACGGAAGATCAAGATGTTTTCAATTAAAGGAGGACAGTTGATTGGCTCCTCTTAAATTATGATGCGTCTTGTCAAAATATATTTCTCAAAATAGGTTATGCTCATCTCAAATGGTTTGATCAAACGAACATGATTGCACAGTGCTATATACAGGGTGCCCCCGACTTACGGGATCACCCATGGTGGAAGGATTACATGGTGTGTGCAGTTCGGCAAAACCACGCCTACTTTTGCTCCGCGTCGTCAAAATTGGGTTCAAGGACTACTAACTGTGAAACGCGAAACATGAGGCAGTATTCATAGCCCGTTCTTATTTTAAAACCGTCTTAAATAATGTCTTAAGATATACTAATACAGTTCTCGGATTAACTTACGACATCTTAAGATTGTACTTAAATAAAAGAATTGGCTATAAAAATACCGGCCTGTTTCGCGTCATGAAATTGGTACTGAATCTTTCCTTGTTTAACACACTTTATGTTTCTATAGAAAGAGAACTTAACATGCATTATAAAGTATGGCAAACAAAGAAAGATTCCAATTCATTGGTACCGATTTCACGACGCGAAACAGGCCGGTACTCATAGTTGATTCTTGCATTTAAGACTATCTTAAGTACAGTCTTAAGATGTCATAAGTCAATCCGAGGACTGTATTAGCATTTTAAGAGATTATTTAAGACAATTTTGAAAGGATGGCACCCAGTTAGACACGGTTCAATTGGACACGAGCCACTCACAGCGCTTGAGACTACAAAGCTCCTAAGCACCGGTCGCTGTGATTGGTGGTGTCCAATCGAGCCGTGATCAATTGGGATCACCCCTTTTAAAATAAGAACAGACTATGAATACCGCCCCATGTTTAGCGTTTCACAGTTGATAGCCCTTCCTCCTTGTGAATAGTCCATAGACAGAGACGATCCATGGACGATCTAAAAGAATACACCAATAACAGTGAGCGCTCACTTAACTGTTCAGTTTGCTGAACGCAGCCCATGTTATCCCTTCCACCATGGGATCACCTCCCGTGAGTAGGCAGAACTGAATTGATTTAAACGCGCGCGCGTGCGCACATATGTACGCACGGACGCACGCACGCATACACGTATACACACACATGGTCATACAGCTCGCAAAGTAATATTTGCTCATTGTTTATACATAAAGGACAATATTAATCATTTTGTGGAGCTTTATCGGCACATACTTTTCAGATTCCAACATATGTTAATATAACTGTCGGCATTAAATGCAGAAAAAATTATATCTTTTTGATATGATTCTGATCATTCTGTAGCATAACAAAAATTAGATTTTTCAAGGTAATTTTCAAGGTAAAAATACCTGCCATATTGAAAATATGAATTTCTGCAATGTATATATACTGCAGTATATATTCTGCAGTATATGTATACGGCACAGGCACCATATAATCATGTGAGTTTCAGCTCAAAACACTTGAGATGAGCGTGAACCTCGATAGGTTTACTCCATTTACCCGTCACCTAGAGGTATATCATTTTCCACGCGAAGTGAGTTTCATGCCACTTTT